TTACACACACACACACATATATATATATATATATATATCTGAGTGTATACATTTGCGATCTAGGGATTTCATTACGTTTTCTTCAACCTCTGTTTTTTTTCCTCTAAATTTATTTATTATATATATACATAAATACATCTGTTTATATATTTTTATTTTTAGATCTGTTTAGATCAATTTATAAAAAAATTTATTTATTTTAGATCTGTTTATTTTATATATTATTGAAGATGATGATGTTGATGACGTTATTCTGTGTGTAGAAATTAGGTTCAGTTGGTTTGCTCATTACTGACATTTGATTTGCTCATCCAGGTATTTTCTCTTTATTGATTGATGTTATTTTCTCTTTATTGATGATATATTATTGAAGATGATGATGTTGATGATGTTATGTTCTCTTTATTGATGTTATTCTGTGTGAAGATATCTGTTTGTAGTTGATTTGTTAATTTGTTGAATTGTTAATTTGATAATTTGTGTCCAGATATCTGTTTGTAGTTGAAATTATGTGAAGTTGATGATGTTGATTGATGTTTAGTTAACAATTGATTTGTTAATACAAATTTGTATTTTTTTAGTGAGAATTTTAATGACATTAGATAATTGAGTTAAACATAATTATAATTTTATAGTACAAATTCTTATAACAAATTACAAAGTTTGTAATTAAATGTCCTTAGCACACACTGTAGTCGTTAACATAATATTACCAATTTTTAAGATGAAAGGAAGGCCAGTTTTAAAATTATTTGAGTGATATTAATTTGCCAATGAATCAAATTGGTTGACTTTGGTTCATAATTATACTTCGTTTCATAATTAAAAATGAAACCAGCTTCTCGTGTAAGTCTTTGGTAATAGAGCATAAAAACAAAATTATAGCTTTAATTAATTGCAGTTGTTAATTGCACTGTGTTTGTATGAAGGATAATTATTTACAAGTGCTTCAAATTAATTATAAAACGAAAAGTTTTATGAGTGAGTCAGATTAACTCACTTTTATTAACTAATTAAAGATAATAATAATAAAAAATGACTCTCTCAAATATGTTATGATTTCATATTATTATCACATTTGTTTTAAGAATATTTAATAATTTTTTGTGAAGCACTACATCAAGACAGCCATGATTGAAAATGGAAGCAAACATTAATATGTTCAATATTGGGTGTAAATCAAGACAGCCATTACACTTTACATCAAGACAGCCATTACACTTTACATCAAGACAGCCATTACACTTTACATCAAGACAGCCATTACACTTTACATCAAGACAGCCATTACACTTTACATCAAGACAGCCATTACACTTTACATCAAGACAGCCATTACACTTTACATCAAGACAGCCATTACACTTTACATCAAGACAGCCATTACACTTTACATCAAGACAGCCATTACACTTTACATCAAGACAGCCATTACACTTTACATCAAGACAGCCATTACACTTTACATCAAGACAGCCATTACACTTTACATCAAGACAGCCATTACACTTTACATCAAGACAGCCATTACACTTTACATCAAGACAGCCATTACACTTTACATCAAGACAGCCATTACACTTTACATCAAGACAGCCATTACACTTTACATCAAGACAGCCATTACACTTTACATCAAGACAGCCATTACACTTTACATCAAGACAGCCATTACACTTTACATCAAGACAGCCATTACACTTTACATCAAGACAGCCATTACACTTTACATCAAGACAGCCATTACACTTTACATCAAGACAGCCATTACACTTTACATCAAGACAGCCATTACACTTTACATCAAGACAGCCATTACACTTTACATCAAGACAGCCATTACACTTTACATCAAGACAGCCATTACACTTTACATCAAGACAGCCATTACACTTTACATCAAGACAGCCATTACACTTTACATCAAGACAGCCATTACACTTTACATCAAGACAGCCATTACACTTTACATCAAGACAGCCATTACACTTTACATCAAGACAGCCATTACACTTTACATCAAGACAGCCATTACACTTTACACCTTTTGTATTTGGTCATTTTATTTTTTATTTCTTTGAGTTGAATGCTAAAGTAGAGTTTGAATATTTAAAAAAAATTCACTAAAATAAAATAAAAAATTCAATTTTCAGAAAAATAGTTTAAACTAGACTGATGGTGTAATGAGTTTTCTTTTATATTGTTATGTATGAGTTTTCTTTGATATTTCTACTTTTCTAAATTTGTTGTTTCACTGTTAGAAGTTTGAAACTCTTTCATTTTTTTGCCTTGGCTAGATTACATAGCATAGCTATCTCTGCTATGCTATACTGCCTAGGGCAACGCAATTTAGGAAAATTTGTAACTTGTAGTGAGAAAAACTTGGGAATAAAATGCATTATGTATTTCAAGTTCTAAAAAGAAGTATGAATGGAGAGTAAGTATCTCAAATCTCAATTGCCAAATACATTGGTATATAGGAGTTAGAATCATAGTTCCAGTATAGTTAATAAAAAAAATTGATGTTTGGTTAATTTGTTTCTCAGTTCCATTAATTCAATCCATGTTATTAGTTATTATTAATTTGTTTCTTAGTTGCAGTAATGTACTTTTATGTTACCTCTGTTAATATTAATTCAATCCATATTATTTTTATAAAGGTTAAAAATGTCAGATGTTAACTCTCAACCACCAGTTAACTCTGAAGTACCCGTTAATTCTCAAGTACCCGTTAACTCTCAAGTATCATTTGAGAGTGACGTGTCACAACATTCATCGCCAGCTACAAACTCACCGTCTCCCCTCTCTAATCAAAATGTTATTGATTTAGAAGAAGAGTCTAATACTACTTGTGGAGGAACTAAAAAAAAACCTAGTGTTGTGTGGAAACATATTAAAAAACAACAAGTCAATGGGGTATGGAAGGCAATATGTAATTATTGTAATAAGCATCTTGGAGGTGATTCAAAAAATGGAACTAGGCATTTGCATGATCACCATAAGAGTTGTACTAGGAAAAAAGTGACGGACATGAGGCAAAAAGTGTTAACGAACAATTTTAGTAGAGAGAGTCCAAAAATGAATTCTTAAATTTTTGATCAAGATTTTGCTAGGAAAGAGTTGTCACATGTCATAATCTTGCATGAATATCCACTCTCTATCGTAGACCATGTTGGTTTTAAACGATATTCAGCAGCACTTCAACCATTGTTTAAAGTGCCTTCTCGAAATACGATAAAGAGTGATATTTTAAGGATTTATGATTATGAGAGGGTGAAGACATTGAGTTTGGAGGAGCATAATAAAAGTAGGGTGGCAATCACAACTGATATGTGGACTGCTAGCAATCAAAAGAAAGGATTTATGGCTGTCACCGCACACTTTATTGATGATTCATAGACATTGCAAAGTCGAATTTTGGGGTATATTTTTTGTAAATTTACAAATCATTTAAAAATTCTATCTTATTCAGTTCAATTTGCATGTTATTAATACTTGTTTATGAATATCATATTTTAGGTTTATTTATGTTCCATGTCCACACACAAAAGAAGTTCTTTGTGATACTTTGCTTGAGTGTATGATGGACTGGAATATTGATAGAAAAATCTCTACTGTGACTATTGATAATTACTCCACAAATGATGCCATGATTACCATGTTGATGGATAAGTTAAGTAATACATCACTTTTGTTGGGTGGTACTTTGTTTCATATGCGTTGTTATGCACATATTTTGAATTTGATAGTGAAAGATGGATTGGACGTCATACGAGTTGGTGTGGAGAAAATTCGAGAGAGTGTAGCTTATTGGACAGCAACACCAAAAAGACTAGAAAAATTTGAAGAAACAGTCAACCAATTGCGTATTCCACATACGAAAAAATTAGGACTTGATTATGCAACTAGGTGGAATTCAACCTACTTGATGCTTCAGACCTTGTGTTGGGTGGTACTTTGTTTCATATGCGTTGCTGTGCGCATATTTTAAATTTGATAGTGAAAGATGGATTAGATGTCATCCGAGTTGGTGTGGAGAAAATTCGAGAGAGTGTAGCTTATTGGACAGCAACACCAAAAAGACTAGAAAAATTTGAAGAAACAGTCAACCACTTGCGTATTCCACATACAAAAAATTAGGACTTGATTATGAAACTAGGTGGAATTCAACCTACATGATGCTTCAGACCTTGTTGTATAAGGATGTCTTTTCTAGGTTGAAAATTAGAGAGCCCCAATATAAGACTGTGCCAACTGAGCAAGAATGGGAGTTTGTTAGAGAGATTAGTGGGAGGTTTAAGATTTTTTTTTTCTATCACAGAGTTGTTTTCTGGTACAAAGTATCCCACAGCAAATGTTTGTTTCCCTGCTTTATATGAGATTAGGATGACATTGTCTCAATGGCTCTTTTGTGAAATTGAAGTGATTAGAACAATGGCATAAAAAATGGTGGAAACATTTTGATAAATATTGGTTAGTGATACATGGTGTTATTGGAGTTGCAGTTGTACTTGATCCTAGGTATAAGATGAGTGTATTGGAGTTTTATTTTGAAAAACTTTATGGAGACAAAGCTGAAGATGAAGTTGATAGGGTTCGTCAGATTTGTTATGATTTGTTGCAAGAGTATCAGCACTGAGTTGGTATGGAGACGGATGTTGTTGGTGACTCTTCTACTCATCCAGAAATTGTTCTAGAGACCTTTTCAGAATTTGATTTGTTTATTAATAGAAAGAGAAGTAAAAAAATGAAGAACGTAAGATCAGAGTTGGACCATTATCTAGAAGATGATGTTTTGCTAAGAACTTCAGGTTTTGATGTTTTGAATTGGTGGAAAGCTAATGGACCAAAGTATCCAACCTTACAGGCAATAGCTAAGGACATTTTAGCTATTCATGTATCCAGTGTTGCTTCTGAGTCAGCATTTAGTACTAGTGGAAGGTTGGTGAGTCCACATCGTAGTAGACTTCATCCAAACACATTAGAAGCATTAATGTGTGCACAAAGTTGGTTGTGGGGTGCGGAGATGAAAGGTATTATTTCATCTAATCTACATATTATTATTTCACTTTTATTATTTATATTACCATGGAATAATTTCAATACTGAATTTATATTCTTTACTTTTTAGGAAATTCAACATTGGAATCGGTGGGCTATGCAACTATATATGATGATGATGAGATTGTCTCGGAAGAGTCATGTGCCACTTTTGTGTTAGTTGTCATCTTTTTTGTTTAAATTGTTAACATTTTGTTACATTTTATTATTAGTATTAATTATTTGTTTCTTTCCTTTTGTTATTTAACAGGAATTCAAGTTGAAGGAGATGATGAAAGTAGTTATGTGGTTTGTATGAGAATTGGAGAAACAATTCATTTGATTTTTTATGTTGTAATGGGAATTTTTTTTTTTAAATTTCAATTTTTGGGTAACCTATCCCTTGCGGGTTGTGCTTGGGACTAATTATTCTCTTTGCAACTTGTTGAATTTTCTTGTGTGGGGCTGCTAGACATCTGTTTTGTTGTTTGTGTTATTTTGTTGAATAGGATGCTTTTCTCTCTACTATGCTAAATGCTGCTGGACAGATTCTTTTGTTTAGAATGCTGCTGGACAGATTCTTTTTTTTTTTAGAACTGCTGGACAGATTTATTGATTTGTTTATATTGATTTGAATAGGACTATTTTGCTAGACAGAGTTATTCATAGATGTTATTTTGTTCTTTACAGATACAAAATATGTTGACAAATATCATATTTGAAATAAGTTTGAATTAGATGTTTATAGATTTTTTTAATTTGAAAATGTCACAAATATGTTTGAATAGGATTGTTTGAAGAGTTACAAATATGTTTGAAAATATATTTCAGATTTACAAATATGAAAATATGCTGGACAGAGTTTCAAATATGTTTACAGAAAATATGATGGATGGAGTTACAAATATGTTTGAAAATATATTTCAATAGGATTGTTTACAGATTATGCTGGACAGAGTTACAAATATGTTTACAGAAAATATGATGGACGGAGTTACAAATATGTTTGAAAATATATTTCAGATTTACAAATATGAAAATATGCTGGACAGAGTTTCAAATATGTTTACAGAAAATATGATGGACGGAGTTACAAATATGTTTGAAAATATATTTCAGATTTACAAATATGAAAATATGCTGGACAGAGTTTCAAATATGTTTACAGAAAATATGATGGACGGAGTTACAAATATGTTTGAAAATATATTTCAGATTTACAAATATGAAAATATGCTGGACAGAGTTTCAAATATGTTTACAGAAAATATGATGGACGGAGTTACAAATATGTTTGAAAATATATTTCAGATTTACAAATATGAAAATATGCTGGACAGAGTTTCAAATATGTTTACAGAAAATATGATGGACGGAGTTACAAATATGTTTGAAAATATATTTCAGATTTACAAATATGAAAATATGCTGGACAGAGTTTCAAATATGTTTACAGAAAATATGATGGACGGAGTTACAAATATGTTTGAAAATATATTTCAGATTTACAAATATCCCCTGAACACTGTGGAACACCATCGGTTGAAGGAAATGTCCACCGGCCATTGAAAATATCCATCGGCTGTTGATGAAGATATCGGCCCAAGAAGGGCTGCCGGTGGGCACTGAACACTGCCGGTCGGCAGAAAGTTCCTGCAGAATCTGGTTTTTGACAGTAACAAGGACAGACAATGTATGGCATGGAATTTCAAGCAAGTGTATGCATGGCTACACTTCCAATCATGTAACGGACTCAAGGGGGTATGGCCCTTGACCCTCGGGCTATCAATAGTGCATTTGATGCATGATAGCCTAAGGAGCCAAGGTTGCAATTTGATGTACAAATGCACGCAACACATAAATGAGGACCAAGATCCTATCATGCCAAAGTCAAGGGCCTCGGTGACCGAGGGTTGAGGTGTGTTTTGTCACTCGAAGTACAAACACCCCTCATCCCTCACACTTGGTTTGACACCCCAAACCAAGCAATGCAATGCATGTTATGCCAACATGGCTCAAAATGTAACATGATGCTAAGATGCAAAACATGTCAAATGTGATGCAATCTACCATGTTCAGTATGCAAAATGCTAGTCATATGAGATGCAAATGTGATGCAAACATGGACCAATATGCCATAAGGCTAGCATGGGACAACATATAATGAACCAAATAAGCAACAAGCATATGATAAGCATGCAATGGTGGACTTAAACCATAAATGGCAGACCTCAATCTTGCCATAAACAGTGGCCAAAATGATGGATAAGAGCACAAATGATGCATGCAAGCATGCACACAACAAGGTCCCTCACCTAAGCATGAAAGGGGACGACTCTAAGCATACTTAAAGGCGATATAAAAGGGCATTAAACCAACATGCTAGGCTCTGAAAATGAATAGAGGATGATGCCAAATCGAACAAATCATGCAAGTAAGGCATGCAACAATGACCACTACTTGAAGCCAATAAAGGGGGTCAAACCAAAGCCACGTCAACCAAACCTTAAAGGACCAAAATGACCTAAAATAGTCCCAAGGGACTCCAAAACAAGACTAAATCATGCAAAGATCATGGTCAAAACATGCCAAGGAATGAGTCCAAAACAAGGGCGTTCAAGGCCACCAAAAGGGAGCATCACTCAATACTTATCCCAAGCAAACATGGCATGAATTTTTCAATACGAAACAGAGTTCTAGTATGCAAAAAGGACCCTAAAACCCACTGATATGGCAGCCTAATATCTAAACACATGGGCATGCACAATGACCATTTCCAAGGCATAAAAGGACAACCCCTCAAAGCATGAAAGAGATGATGAAGACAAACATACGAGCATGGATTAGGGACTGAAATATGATCTACAATGATGTCAAGTCATGAGATTAAGGTAAGCTAAGCGTGCTAGAGAATCACACACTCGAGGCTTACAAGCCAAAATGCAATGTAACTATACCAAGCATGCTAAACAAGTCCAAATCAGTGGCCAACAGACCTCATGCATGACAAAATATGGCCAAGAGCCTCACAAAGCAAAGCCAAAACAAGAGGATATGCTAGGCTAAACACATAGCACACTTCTAGGCAAGATGGAGAATTACAAAGCAAGTATAAAATGCATGCTAAGGGCCAATAAACCACCATTGGACAGAGATATAATATGACCCAAAACACCCAAAAAGCTTCTGAAATGGGACCAAAAATGATTAAGCATGCATGTTGCCCTTTAAGCCAAAACAAGGATAAAAGAGAGACAAAAGGGGAGAGGGGTGTCCCTCCCCTATGCAAGACCTCAAAAGCACTCCATCACCACTGAAATAAAAATCCATTGGATTTCAGTGGTGAGAAGACCAACACAACAAAGTAAACAAAGCTTAAAGAAAAGGGCACCAAAATAGGCCAAAAGAGGCCTAAGGAGAGGAGTTAATGCCAAAACGACCTCAATGAGATATCTTAAGCATGAAAATACAAAGCTTTGTCATGTCATACACAAAGCCTAAAACAGAAAGCAAGATAGGTCAAAAGCCAATGCAAGATTGGGGAAACTAAAGTAAAGTGATTACCCTTGAAGAACCTTTGAAGAACACTTGGTCCAGCCACCCTCTATTGACCAAAACCAGTCCAAAACCTCAACAAACAACCCTCAAAATCCCCCAAAGTCAAAGTAAGGTGTGGTAGTGTGTGTGTTAGTGCAAAACTAAGGTAAAAATGCACTTTTAGGCCAGTGTGGGGATGCCTCACAAGGCATTCCCTGCCCCTCCAAGGCAAAACACAAATGTTTGGTGCAAAACCAGACACTAAACAGTCGAGTTCAGAGATCCCGAGGCAAAGTGCGTAGCCGAGACCTCCGGAAACTCCAAACGAACACAAACATGGATGATCACCGGGTGTTCAAACGGTGACGTCCAAGTCTTGAGGACGGTCAAAAAAATGGGGTGTCTACATTAATGGACCAAAGTATCCGACTTTACAGGCAATAGCTAGGGACATTTTAGCTATTCCTGTATCCACTGTTGCTTCTGAGTCAGCATTTAGTAGTAGTGGAAGGTTGGTGAGTCCATATCGTAGTAGACTTCATCCAAACACATTAGAAGCATTAATGTGTGCACAAAGTTGGTTGTGGGGTGCGAGATGAAAGGTATTATTTCATCTAATCTACATATTATTATTTCACTTTTATTATTTATATTACCATGGAATAATTTCAATACTGAATTTATATTCTTTACTTTTTAGGAAATTCAACATTGGAATCGGTGGGCTATGCAACTATATATGATGATGATGAGATCGAGTCGGATCAGTCATGTGCCACTTTGTCAACTGTAATGCATCTTGCAGATCTTAAGATGGCCTTCATGATGGGTATCCAGTCTTCACCAATTCAAGGGACCTATAATGCACAAAGAATACTGAAATGCATAAATTCACATTTACCTTTCGCCCTTAGGGGCTGATACCTTTATAAAGTTTGTTATTTAACAAGAATTCAAGTTGAAGGAGATGATGAAAGTAGTTGTGTGGTTTGTATGAGAATTGGAGAAACAATTCATTTGATTTTTTATGTTGTAATGGGAATTTTTTTTTTTTTTAAATTT